TCCCTCCCCGTAGCGGCGGAGTTTCTCCGCGCCTGCCTTCGTCTGCCGGGGATAAAAAATAAATCCGGCTGTGTAACCGGAGGACTTCTGTCGGCTTTCCCGCTTACCGACGTGACCCCGGAGGAGCGCGCTGATCCGCGACCGCTTGGCACAAGGGGGTCACTTCGGCGGTAAAAAACAGAGCGAGCGTTGCTCTTCCCACCGGAGTCCCGCCTGTCGAAACAGACTCCGGTAACTTTCCGCTGCGCTCCCTGACAGAGGGAACGCGGCTGTGGCGCAGGTGTACCGCTCACGTTAAGGGCTAAGTACTCGGTGCTCAAAGCCGGCTGGTTTTCCTCCTGCTCTCTCCTCAGCAGCCTGAGGTGAGAGGGAAGATGAAAGGAAATGAGGAGTGAGAGCAGTTAATTTGAATCTCTTTCTGCTTCTGTTTTGGGATATGCTGATAGATCCACAAATCGGCCATCTGCATACTCCTTCATTAGGGCATTTAGATTGTAATCTCATCAGCCTTTACCCATGAAAGTAATCCTTCTCTGAGCAGCGCTGTTGAAATCTGGGTAGAGTTTGGGTCATCAATTCTCTCTCTTTTTTTTTTTTTTTTTTTGTTGTAATCTTAGTAAGTAATTGTGGACAATATCCAGAGATCACATTCTTTTCACATTCTTTCTTTCGAGCTAAATGAGCTACCTGAGGCTCTGTTTCACTGTAATGTAGTGTCACAGCATTGCAGAAGAGTTTTGTACATCGTTATGGTTTCCCCCACCCGTTTTTCAAAAATAAAATTTGCATGGTGCAGAAGTCAAATATCAAATGTGAAGTCTGGTTAGCGTTTGACAGGTACTTTTTCATCTGACGAAAACAAGTTTTGAAAATACTGAAGGAAGTGTGCCGCATGTCAATTCTTTGTATGTTACATGGGAGCAGCTTTCAGGATATGAGTAAGCTTCCATATACTCTATGAAAATACTTTTATATTAATGATGCTATAAGAGATTTTAGCCTGGAAGAACCTTCCTAACCTCATGACTGTTGCTGCTTAATATAGTTTGCATGAACAGAGATAACAACAAAAGCAAGTATCGTAAAATGTACATGACTCATTTGGACAAGTATACTACTGCAGCACCCGATAGTAAGTGTGAGGTAACATTTTCTGCAGGAATATTTGTCTCCATAATATAGAAGCTCACTAAAGCGCTTGGTTCTTAAATCTTCCCTAATCGATTGTGAGAAACTGCTGCTTTTGTATCAAGCAAAGTTTATGAAGTGTGTGGATTACTGAATTACAATGTAAGCTCCAACACAAGAGATTTCGCTTTATTTCGGCATGATCATTAAAGCACGCGTAGAGCAGTTATAACCAGAATTTAGGAACAAATTATGTTAAATTGCAGTGTAGAAATACTTCACTGCCTTAACATTGCTGAGGAATCTCAGCTTTTTAACAGGTTTTAGGTTTAGAAGAAAATTTTTGCATTAATAATAGTATGCTTTTAAACATTATTTTTTAGTGTTTCAATATTTTTCCTTTTTTTTTTTTTGTTGCAGATTATGTTTATTTTGAAAATTCTTCCAGCAATCCGTATCTTATTAGGAGAATTGAAGAACTTAACAAGGTACACAAGTATCTAAGATTATTGCTTACCCTTTGACAACAGTCAATGTGCTTTTCAAAAACTGAGAATAATTTCCATCCCATAAGATTTCTAATGTGGTAGAATTTTCTGTTGTGTGGTGTGGGTTTTTTTGGTTGTTGTTGTTTTGTTTGTTGGTTTTTTTTTTTAACTTAAACTTGAGATTTGCTATGTGTTTTGTATATGTTTCGGTTACCGAAATCTTGCCATGGGATATCCTGTAGTTCTACCGTGTTATCATTCCTGGTGAACAGGAGTGCACTGTTGTAAAAATTTCCAAGCCAATCCTATAGGAATGCTTGAGGAAATGAATGAATTTAATTCTCTGTATGGTGATGACAGTGTGAATCCATCTGGAATGATAGCGATCATGTAATGTGTCTACTTTGGGATGTATGTATAAAGACCTAGCAGATATCAGTGAGACGTTTCAGTGATCAAATAACAGAATATGTGGCTTCCATGGCTGTTTACTGCGCTGCTTATTGGCAGTTGTGAATGAAGGATAGGCTTTTAAACAGAAATAGAGACTGTATTCTCTATCTTTATCCTGAGTGTATTTTTATAAAGGATAGAAGCTTTTCAGAGTGTTGTTTTGGGGAAAGCATGATTATTTTTCTTGTACTACTAAGAATAGTGTGGGATTTGTTTGTTGTATTTTTTTTTTTTTTAGCGTGGCGCATTTTTGCTATTCTATTAGTATTAAAACTTACAGATACATTATGTCAAAAGTTAATGATCAAAGTGCCTATTGTGATGTGAATAATAAAAACGATTTTTTTTTTTTCTGTGGTTAGAAAGTAAATTAAAAAATTGGTGACCTGCAAACTGTTTTCTTCCTAGTAATGGAACATACTACTCCAGACATGGAGTCTGTACTAGCAGACATCCAGCCACATTACCTGTTAGTGCTGTCCAACACAACATCCACTGAGCTTGTGCAGGGCAAATAATTTTGGACTTTTATTAGAGAAGAGTATTTTTTATTTACAGTAATTGAAGAGATTCCAATCATGTTCTGAGTGTAATGTTTATTATCTTTAAACGGAATTGCTGTAATTTAATCTTGCTTGTGAGTGGTAGAGCAGAGTCATGTATTGATTTTTTTTTTTAATTTTTTTTTTTAAAGAGAGTTTCGAGGATATAGTCCAGATGTCTTAATTGTGAGTTATGTGCTTTCATGTATTAAAAGGCATTGAGCAAACATGGAGATGTTATGCAAATATATAATGAAATGCTTTGGTTGTCATTTTATTGGAGATGCTTTCTTTTTTTGGTAAGAAACTTAATTAAGATATGATACTTTTCACTGCCACATTGTGAGTTTTAAATAAGTAACTCAAGGTAATGAACTAATTTTATGCTTTTCATAACAAGAAAGAAGGTTCAGTTCTTCAAATATTAGTAGATTCTCAGGCTAAAGAGCATGATCCCTGGAATGAGTCATGAAAACAACTGTGAACTAAATAGCTCTTTTACAAGCTGCAGTAAATTTTCAAATAAACCGTATTATATTAAATATAATTCTGAAAAAAATGCCAGAGTACTTTGAAACATACATTTCTGTTTAAAGCTGGTTTGCAAAGAAATGTTCAAAAGCTTGTAATGTTTCTTAAGGATTCTTATGCTAACATAATATTGTATTACATCTCTAAACAGCTGAATAATATATAAATTCTTAGGACTAAATAATTATAATCAATACTGTCATCTGATCTGAAATTGATGTTGGCCTATGTCAGGAAATTTTCAGTAATTTGAGTAATTCTGTTGATTTCAGCCTGACCGATCATGTGAGAACTACTAATATGAGGGAAAATTGCAAGCAGAGGGCATTTAATTTATATTACTCAGCTGAGGAAGGATACATTCTGACTTGATTTCTTTCTTTTGTAGACTGCCAATGGAAACGTGGAAGCAAAAGTGGTGTGTTTTTACAGGCGAAGAGATATTTCCAACAGCCTTATAATGCTTGCAGATAAACATGCTAGTAAGTAGATTGTGTAGGGCGTTTTTTCTTTCTATCACAGCCTGTTCAGTATCTGCAGCTACTTAAAACTGCATTTCTTTGGCATGTGGAATGTATATTTATATTAGGCATTAATTAATATCCAGTTAGATGCTTATCATTATCTGATGCTAGCCTTGCTCCTACTAGTTGCTTCTGGGACTTAAATTAAGCTGTATTAAAATCTCCGTTTGAAAAAAAAAAAAAAGAATGTATTTTTTCAGCTGGAAGATACAGCTGTATTTCTTTTTTCATGTCAAAAGTAAATCTTAGGTGTAAGTCGATTTAAGCTTAAGAGCGTTCTTGAGGATTTGATTTGACTATTTTTTTTTGTCTTTTTTTATTGTTTTGACTATTCAGTATGCGTATTGCGTACTGAAAAGGATGAAATGTATCATTGGAGGCTGAAAATCACTGGAGATTGTAAAATAGCTGTTGTGCGCATTTATGCTAAATGTAGATAGTAATCAGTAAAATAGTAGTGAGCATCATCTCATTTTTTTCAGAAAAGCAAAGTAGTAATGGGAAAAAGTCCCATTTTCATCATGAATTTTTTTGGGGACCTACTATTTTGGTGTTTATTTTTGGTATTTATGATGTTTTTCCATAACTTCATTATTAAAAAAAGAATTCTGAAGAGAAAAAGAGAACCTAAGAAACTGAGGTGTTTGAGAAAATTGTTATTTGCAAAATATTGCACTCATGTTTGTAAATAACGGAAGAGTTGAAAATGTCAATATCTAGTAAATTTCTTGCCATATACTGTTAAATAACGTTTTAATTATAAGTGATACTTGAGTATTCAAAATTAATATGTGAATAAATGATGTAGGGATTATAAATCTCTGTTTTCTAATTTATCGGGATGAATCTCTTTCAAGATGTTAACTAATGCCATATTTTGTGTGCAGATGTATGATGGAGTAATTGAGTGCTTAAAAACAATTAAACAATTGTTTATTGTTAAATTCTGATAATTTTACTCATACAAGTACCCTTAGTGAAGAGAAACAGCCAGCTTTTGGCTTTTGTTTTATTCTTTCATTGGTCCTGGAGAAGTGGAGGTGATTTGAGTACATAGTGTGAAGTACTAGCTAGGTTTTTAAAGAAGGAAGAAAGAAAGAAGATACATCTTGCTTATGTTCTAAGGGAATGATCTATTTAAATGTTTTTCTAATATAGTTGGGTACACTTTGTAATTATTGGTGACCTATTTTGTCATAGTCTGCCCCTACAATAGTTATAGTCTTGAGTTCTTCCATATGAAATGTATAGAAACATAGAACTTCTAGTGAGCTTCACTAAGCTTTCCAGCACATTTTTTTTGTTTTTCTTTTCTAACAGAGGGGACAGGGAAGGATGAAGAGGATAACAATTTAACTGGAAATGCATTTTTTTTTTAATTTGATTTTTAAATGAATATTATAGATTTTTTTTTTCGTTGGCTTAATTTTTAGAAAAGGGCGTGTTTAGTTCTGTGGGCGTCATGCGATCTGGAAAAGTGAATAACATTTTTCTATTCCCTTTGTGAGTTTTAGGTTGCCATTTTGTCAGCACATTGATATAGAGGACTTGTTGACAGTCCGTCGCTCTTCCCCTATAGCCTACTAGGGGTTTGTTGTTGTCAGTAGAAGTACCACGTAATCTTCCATCATGTATTCTCTATTGAGGTTGTCCTGCTGTTTTCTAGAGAGAAAATAGAAATGTAATTTGTAGGTGATTCAACCAAGCATCTTTAGAATGCCTGTGTCTCACAGGTTGTAAGTCTTCTAACCCAGCGTTCTTACAGTTTAGGGTTCTCTGTGGATGTTTTCTCTGTAGGTAATGTTTTCTTTCTGACCAATATGTCGAATCTGTACAGCTAATTTATCTTACGAGATATATATTACAGTTACAGGGGCCAGCACATAGTGAAGGATTGCTCGCCTGGATCTTCGTACAGCTCATACAGCAGATGTAGTTAAATGTCAAATCAATTTAAATGTTTTGGTTCTGGAATAGCAGAGTGTTTAAAAATATGATGTATGTAAACAAAATATTTGTGTTTTTATGAATTGAATGTTTTGGGAATGTTTTATATATATAAATGTGTTGATATTTCAACACTTCTACCTGTTTTTTTTTTAGAAAATAAATGCTAAAATATAACGAGTTTCTTACGGAATGGAAACTCTAGTTCATTCACTGGTTACTCCAGTGTACATGTCTAGAGAAGTCAATTTTAAGTATAAAATCTGCTTTATCTTTTCTAATGACATTTTATATTGCTAGCAAATACATCTTTTTCCTTCTGATAGAGAAAACTTCTGACTAATGCACTTTTGAAGGTTCTGGCAGGTGGGAGTTGGTTTTTTTTGGGTGACACTTCAATTTCTGAAGGTTTTGTGATGTAGGTATGGTCTCATTTAATAAGAGAAGAAAGTAGCTTTCTAAGAAAATATTTTGGAACTTTAAGAACAAATTTTCAATCACTTGAAAAAGTTTCAAAACAATTTTAAAGAACATTTTGGAAAATAGAATGAAGTAAATCTGTGGCATTGTCACGGGTAAGGAGTCAATATACTGTTTTTTGAATACTTTTTTTGTGTGTTTTTTTATTTTTAAAGATATCTTCAAAAAAGTTTAAGGATATAAAAAGAAATAGGGGGAAAAAAAAAGAGTTTTCCTTAGGCCGTTCTAATATACCCAGGTACAGAGGAGTTTCCTTGATTTCAAAGCATCTGACTCTAATCTGAGGAAATTTCATTTCTTCCATTTTTTTCTCTGGTGTTTGTGGTGGAAGTTAATTAACAAGCATTTGAATTTGTCTACCAGCATCATATATGGTGTCAATCTTGATCTGGGAATAGTTCTGTTAGCTGACTGTAGCCACTAAAATCCAGGGATTTTGAATGTTTTATGGGCCCTCGAAGACACTGCTTTTTTACCCCCTTGGATTTCTGTTACTATAAAACAGTGCATGATAAGGCCAACTTGAAAGCCAAAACAAGATACTAGCCAAGATCAGCTGCTTGATCCTGTGCAGCCTCCTAAACTGAGTAGGGGTGTTCTGTTGGAGTGTAACACCCACCAACTCTTAGATTGTAGCCATTACCATAAGGTCATTGCGAGGGGGTCGTTTTTTTCTTCGAGTAAGTCTTACTTTATGGGAAAAGAAGGAAAAGAGATGCATAGATGACAACAGGCAGTGCAAGAGCTATGTAACCGATGACTGAATGACTGAAGTACATGAAATTGGGAGAGATGGGACAAAACCACACTGCTTGTTAAAATGGGTGAAGCAAACGTAAAGGGGTGGCATAGAGATGTTTTCTAAACACATCTTGTGATTGAAAGAGAAATTGCTAACTGTAGCTGGACCTGTAAAATTTAGATGATTATACTAGCTCTGTACCAACACTGGTTTTGGGTTACAGTGAAGGACTCAACTTCTGTATTTCCTTCTTTTGTGATAGATTTATGAACTGTTACTTTCTCGAAGCTGAGTAGGGTGGCCTGAGTGCATCATGCCATTTTTTTACAGTTCTTTACGTTTTGAATTCTTTATCTGGTAATGTGCTGTCATGTAATACTGTGTCTGAAGTCCTTCTCTTACTGCAATTCCTCAAACAGCTTTTGCCTAGTCAACCACCTGGGGAGGATATTAAAAAAAAAAGTTCCCATTGTCAGAGACCTTTGTCTTCTGATTTGTTAAGAGAGCTTGCTTTGACTTAGGTGTACTGAGCTCCTGACTAAATGCCAAGAACTTTTCTGGGCCTACGATAAAGCCCACGCGCTGTGTATTTTTTCTCGTAAACAAAACTGATGCTCTTGTGAATGAGACAGGATTCAATTAAAAAAATATCTGAGGCATGTTGTTTTCAGTGACTGAGAGATCAAAGGTGGACCTGAGATTTTTCTAGATTACAGACGCTGCAGTCCAAATCTTTTTTTCAGTCTCAATTGCTCTTTGTAGAGATAGATCACTTACTGGTTTTACTGCTCACAGTTGCACTTTTTTTAGGACTTTTCTTAACCTCTGTCTCTTGAGTGGCCATGTTTCATGTTGCATTACTTTGCAAAATGGTGGTTTTGCTGCAAAATTTTTGTACACGATAGATTTCTAGAAGCAAAGGAAGAGTCCTACTAGGGATCTGGTGATTCCTGTTGAACGGTTGGATTCTGTGCTGAGTTCTGACCTTGGTATGACACTGATGTATTGTAATCAGAAACAAATCAAGTATTTTCTTTGTACTTCGTGTCTTTATCTGTAAAGTAATGCTCTTACTAGGAGCTCTTATTAAGGTTGGTGAAAAATATTTAACATACCAATAAATTTTTGTAGCTCCCGTTAAAAGATGTCAAAGTGCCTTACCAATAAAAACTAAGTTTATTTTGTATATTAATATTAAGAATGTTCCAACAGTCCTGGAAATGGTTGGATGGTAACTCAGCAGTTTTCCTGCTGTTTAGCTCTCTTACTTTTATGTGAAGATGCTTTGTATTTGTGGAAAAAAGAACAACCGATTACTTTGCATATTGTCAATCTACGTTAGCATCATAATAATTGCCAAAGGCTCCAGATGCATCCAAGAGAATGAAGCTGTTAATATTCCATCTGGTTTTTGGAAAGCATTTTCTTTCAGTAGAGTAGCAGACTAGCAGGTAGCATAGAAGATGGCAAGAACATGAGCTTGAGAAGGATTGTTTAATGTATTTAATAGTAATGCAGATTATTCATTAATATTCCCAAAGATACACAAAACTGAAATGTGAATTCCTTTCCTATGTTGTCAGGTTTTTTAGTACATGGTTGCTGTTGCATTAGTATTCTTAATACTCAATTCCAGGAAAAGTACATGAGAATTTTTTCTGCCCTCTTCAACAGTCAAAAAATATAACTTTAAAAGTTTCAATTTTCAGTATTTTTCTGAAGGATACATAGAACTAAAACAGGAATAGGGCAATTCATATACTCAGTTTTTAAGAAAAAAATTGCATGT